CTATGTTCTACACGAAGGAATTTTGCTGGAACAACAAATGTCTGTCAATAAAGGGACAGCGAGAAAGAAATCTGGACAGCAAAAGATTGGTTTAGACAGCACGAAAGATTTGTTAAGATTATTAATTGCTATTTGCTGGACATATTTGGACAATTAATACTCTCAACGAACCTTCCTGTCGCCCGAACAAACTTTTTGCTGTCCACATCAATTTTTCTTCGCTGTCACTGTATTGACAAACACTTGCCGTTCCGACAAGATCTGTCTCCTCCGTGTAGGCGGGGAAGCCGCGAATCCACCGCCGAGCACGTGGGAATCCCCGCGCGATGTCGACCCGGGTAACGTACTCATCTTCCGCGACGGACCCTCCATTAGCTCCCGGACGAGGGATGAATTTCGAATTAATCAGATGCGGCCGCACAAACACGCCCGAACATTTCAGACGTTGATTCGAATCGCAACTTTCTTGCTCTCTCGCTCGCCCGCGGAAACGCTGTCGGACGCTGTAATTAACCAAGTGCCTCCAACTTCCGCCGATATTACAAACGCCACATCCGTAGGATTTGTTGAAAAACAAGCTCGAAGTCAAATATCATTCCCTTCCTCCTCCCCCACCGTCTTTAAATTACAATTTCAATTTGACCGAGTGGCTTTGATTGAATATCCCAAGTGCGAATGCAATTTAGACGTGGTAACGACGAAGGACCGGATTCGATATATATGTATTGAATACTTCGGGGACACCCCTATTCATCGGTAATGTTAAATACATTCGTGACGTTTCCGTAATTCATGCAACCTAATTCCTTGGCGCTTATCCCCACCGAATGAGCGACCGATAGAGCGACAGAGAGAGAGAGAGAGAGAGAGAGAAAGAGAGAGAGAGAGAGAGGGCGGGGGAGAAGCGAAGGGGTGCAAGGAAGGATATTCTCCGCGCAGGCCGGAATAGATGCAGCTGCGACAGCGGGGGGTGGGTTTGCTTCCGCGGCCGGAGATCCCGCCGAAGCGGGTACCATGACAAGTGGCGCGAAGCTCGCGTGGTGTCGATACAATATGGTTACATTTCCGGTCCCGGTCCCGCACTCGTACGTACCAACATCCCCTTAAATCCACCTTTATGGCGCCGAGGGACGGCGGAGTGAGATCCGTCAGGATGACGGACATCCCTTAAATTTGCCGGGAAAGCCGCGGGCTCGGACGACTCCCCGAGGATGCCGGATGCGCCTCCTCCTCGAAATGAAATTCTGCCCGGCGTTCTCTCTCTCTCTCTCTCTCTCTCTCTCTCTCTCTCTCTCTCTCTCTCTTTCGCTCGCTCGGCCGTAAATCGACCGGGATGTAGACGACGGGTGGCGGTAGGTAGGTAGAGTAGGGTGGGATAGGTAAGTACACCGCCGACTACGTCGGAGTAAATGGAGAAAGCGTCCGCTCGCGGGCGATCCACCGAGGTGGTGGATCGAGACGTAATTGGCACTCGTGCAGACCAGAACGCTTAATTCAAGATCCCAAGACATGGCGCCGGCCCTGAGCTTGCCCGCTTTAATTGCGCGAATTCAGGCCGTGCCGAGTAATTGAAATCGCGCTCGCGGAAGCCCAGCGTGTCGTGAATCGCCCGGGTCGCATCATCGTCGTTTACGCGCGACACGCCGGACTCGGGCATTGAGAGACGAGGGCTCCGGAAGCGCGAAGGTGAAGAGCCTCTCGGTTCCCGCCTCGGAATTTTCGACCGGGCCTACGAGGAGAATTTAAGCACTGAGTCTGAAAACATTGGCCAATCACCACTGATTATTCTTCTGTAATTCGACTGTGATTGGTCAATGTCTTAAGGTTTATGGCCTGAAGTACCTAATGACTAGGGCTTAGACGGAGGACGCTTCGACGGCGTGTAATATGTCTTTTAGACGTCTTAAGGACGACTTACAGACTATCTAATAAGAGCATAGTCGGGCAAACTTTTGTTTGAAAACCGTTATATCGAAAACGTTTGGAGGAACAGATAGAAGGACTCTTCCCCTACGACGCATCATCAGAGAGTCTCGGTTATTGTCCGACTTTCGCTAGAGAACGACCCTAAACATCGGAGTTGTCTTTGCTCCCAGTGGAAGGGAGAAAATGACGTCGAAACATTAGATTGGCCGCAGTCACCAGACGCAGATCTAATTGAAAATGTCCGGGGGTTAATGAAGATGAAGCTGCGTGGACAAAAAGTGTGTACGGTGAAACAATTATCTCGACAGATTCGTTCGATATGGCGATCTTTATCTCAAGAGTATGCTGTAAAATTGGTAGAAAGTATGCCTCGAAGATGTCAGGCAATAATTGATTGGACGTCCTATCAATATAAAAGCGCTACAGTACTGAGTGAGTAGTACATATGTATGTCTTTTTCATTCCTTTATATTTAATTCACCCTCGTAAATAGTTTAAAAGTTCTGTCGAGCACGCTCTTATTAGATGGGCTGTATATCGCGATATCTCGATGACAAATTAAAGACTCAATTTAACGGGTGTCTTACGTCCCGATTCTGGACATTCACGCCGTCCGGGAGGGTTCAACGTGAAATCGGTTGTTCGCGGAGCGGACAATCGTTAAATATGAATGCGCGAAGTTTGCTCCCGGAGCTATCAAAGCGACGCACCGATGTTGTGTGTATCGGTGCGTCGGCGCGTGTTGAGATATTAAATACATAATAATAATGTACCATACACACACACACACACACACATGCACACACGACAGAGAGAGAAAGAGAGAGAGAGGTTACCTTGCGCAGTAATCCGTACGTCATTTGTACTAATCTCGATTCCCGTGATTATTGGACCGCGCGAGTCGATACCGCTATTTCAAATTATATATTGTAATCACGTTAACTACAAGACTACATTAAATACACATCTCCCTCTCCCTCTCTCCCCCCCCCCCCTCCTNCCTCTCCCTCTCCCTCCCCCCCCCCCCCCCTCTCCTTCTCTCTCTCTCTCTCTCTCTATCTATCTATCCGTCTATCTCGACGTGTACGTGTATGTATATTACGAACGCTGTAATCAGTCCCGTGCGGTGATCGCGCGTTCAATTTCGAAACTTGCGCGATATGCAGGCCGAGAATCAAGCTCGGATCGCTAAATAGTCGAGTGGATGTACTCGACAATGAAATGCGCGCCTCCGATGTCGTATACGCTCTGTACGAATAGCCGCGCGAATACCGACGATAAAAACAGTAACCGATAATTACTTCGACCGAATCAACGCGCATTTATGCGCGCGCTTAAATAGAAAACAGATGACATTAGCGATATCGAGATAATCGAGCGCGAAACTACACTGCATACAGAAATACCGCGGCTTTCAGCTATTCCGCACGTCGTTCGCTCGATGTTTTGTGAATACAAGTGGGAAGAGGGAGGGAGGAGGGGGGGGNGGTCCGATTAGGAAATGATCGGATCTTCCACGTACCGCTGAAATTTTAATTTGTGTTTCGGTACTAAGCGTCGATCGATAAACAAGCGAGTATTCGCAAGAAATCTGCACGTAAAGTTTCTCTCTTTACGTCGCAGGTAAATTATGAATTTCCTATGGCAATTTTTTTTAGGCAAAACGGTCGATAATTTTGAAATATTTCGTGTAACGTCTGTACGTTAGTTTTTAACATCGAAATAGTTTTCCATTGAAATAGTATAAATATGGTATTTAAAAGAAATTTAAAATAGAAATTAAATGTAGGACACACAAACGCGAGGAACACGTAAGAAGGTGTCGATTTTAATTGCGAATATCTCAGTTACTAAACGATCGATCGTTTTCTTTAACTTTACAGATGTGCAAATAGGTGTGTATTCGCGTCAATGCGTAGTTAAAATTCCGAAAAAATAATTCGTACACCAACTGTAGGCTCTGTGCTTACCTCAACATGTAAGCGTGTACAACGATCACTTTCCACTTTTCTCTCATGCCGAGAAGTTAATGCAATTCACGTTTTTGAAAATAACTGGCTAAATTGGAGAGCAATTGGCGATTGGGTTTCACACTCAAAAAAGGCATTCTTAGACACTCGGTTTTTTAAAACGGTTGCATTTTTTTTCCCGGCGCAGTTCGGAACACACAAACGGTGAGATCCGCTAAGGGAAATCATCTTTGGAAAATAGTGCCCCATTGAGTGCGTTCCAAACTGCATCGAGAAAAAATGTGTAAACTGTTTAGAAGCCGTGCGTGCAAAAAACGTATTTCCGCTGGGAATAAATAATTTCTCATTTGCTTCAGACACGTGTGAATTATTGATATACGTTCTTCCGGAATTAATTGCATCCAAACGGAATCCGTGGTATCGTTGCGAGGAATAAGCAGAGATTACCCGGGTCGAAATTTTGGCCCTACGTTAAACCTTTAATCCTACAACATAGTTGGAGCTAAGATAGTAAAATTCAATTCTAACAACATATAACCCCTACTTTGACCCCGACGATGTCTTGAATTTCCGTTCCCGCTGTTTTAGCTGAAATCGGACGACGAAAGTGACGTTAAAATCCAATCTGTAAAATCGGAGGTTCACAAGAGAAGAACAAATCAATCGACGTCGTCGAAGTAGGTTTTTATTAGTCTAAGTAGGCGCAAACTGTTTTTAAGAGCGTCAGAGAGTGACGCCAAAATCCCGACTCGGGTACCTTCGTGCGTCTCAGCGAGAATGAAACAAGTGGAAATCGGGCTGATATTCACCGTGATATCCTCCGTGACATATCGCAAACATCTCCATGCTCGATATTTCGGGGCGAGCGTATCATTAACGATACGCCGCGCGCTGTGACAATCTCGTTACGTTATTAAGTACCCCTCGGGAAATCTTTCTTTCGTGTCGCGCGTGCTTAACGAAGGTCGTAATGGAATTACCGCATCCGTAGCGCGCGGCAAGAATTTGCGGTTCGTTGCCCGCGGCATGTTAAGTGCCGGCCCCGACAGCAATTGAATTTGAAGTCGCGCTGCGCGACCGGGGTCAGTTTAATGCGCTACTTACCTACGTGTTGAACTGGGATAATTTCTCCTGAATTACGTGGACGGCGGATTCGTGTCGTCTCTCAGCGGCAGTCGGCATCCTGAAATCAGTCAAGACGAGAACGAGTTACTCGCGACCGACGTGAATGTATCGTTGACACACTCAGGGAAATGTCTCGTCGGTCCAGCAGGAATTATAAATGTCGTGGGTAAAATGTATCATCATTTTTTCAGCGGCTGGAAAATCGTTTGTGGTGCGTGGAATTCGCAGCAGCAGCATTCCAGCGCATATGTGCGAGAAAATGTAGATCCTGTCGCTAATTTTTAATCAGAAATACGACTGCTCTTAACAGGTTGATTGATAAGTCTTTAGAACGACACATTAGTGGTGTTGCCACCTCCAATATGCCGTGAATTTCCAGTAGTGCCAACCTTCAAGTCTCTCACTACACAGTTGCAGACAGCTATGACAATCAGTATATTTCTGACAGCCACCGAAAGCACATAACCTCTGATATTTTGTAAAAATGGAAAAAACTGAAATTCGTGAAGTGATTAAGTATTTCTATTTGAAAGGCTTGCAACCATAAGAAATGATTGAGGACCTCCAAAAGACTTTAGGGAAGTCTGCTCCGTCGAATGCAACCGTAAATAACTGGATTGCAGAGTTTAAACGTGGTCGTACCAGCACATCGGATGCACGACGCAGTGGTCGTCAAAATGAGGTGACAATAGTTTTAACTAATTTCTCGTGTGTATATAAATTTTGCTGTGAAAGGCTTGACAATTGATTTGCGAAATATGAGAAATTATCTCGTTGAGATAAATGTTAATTTGAACACGGCGAAATCTAATTTTATTCCTACCAGATCATTAAACGACATCGCTAAGAGTGTAGCGGCGCGCACTAGCGGTAATTTCTCATACATTACAAGCGGCATCTCATTCGCTACCGTAGTTGAGTCTCATCGCGTGAAAATTGGAAAAGTTCAAAAGCGCTCGTCGCCTGCCAGCAGCGCAGGACGTCGCGGAGAACGAGAAGGAGAGGCTGATGGTAAGCAAAAGAGAAGCTGCATGGCATGTCAAGAGGTCGATGGTAGAGAGAAAGAGAGTTAGAGAGAGAGAGGGAAAGAGAGAGGGGAGAGGCGGAAAACGCGCGGATGAGAGGGAGCTGCGGTAGATATTGTTTCCGCGGTTCGTCGCAGCGTTGCGTTCGATTTCACGGTACGCGGGAATTTGCGCGGAACGAATTCATTGTGCGAGAGCTAAATCGTGTACCGCCGCGTATATACGATTTAATATGCGACCATTCGGACGGTCCGCTCGCTGGTCAATTTTAACCGGACGCTTCGAGCGAAGCGTAAACTCCTGCGAAGTTCCCGTACTCACGTTCAAAGCCAGCCGGATGTTTTCCACAAGCAAGGCAGGCGCGTCTTTGTAGCTTTTAATCCGCGAGTGTTCGCGCGCGCTGCATAAACCGGACTAAAGTAAATAAGCTATTTCCTCCCCCCTTCCCTCTTTCTCTTTCTCTCTCTGTTCGTTACTAGATAGGTATGTGCAGCCTTATTAATGCATGCTCGAAATTTAAACTCGTTTTAATTATGCGACGTTCCCACTGTAACTCGTACTCATCTTGACACGCGTCACGATTGCTCGTGCAACTTGAATCAAACGATGGCGTCTTAATTTGACATCATTGGCACACATTGGTAAATTGAAAAACAGCTTATCGAATTCGTAAAAACAATTGTTTTGATTACTTGCGAGACAACTATTTACTTGAATCCGATAGAAAATATATTTATTATTATTAAATTATTAAATATATATTTATTATTGTTAAATTACAAAAGAAAAATGTAAAAGAAGAGTATAATTTTTTCGAGCAAAAGATTTATAAATTTAGTTACAGGAGATATTTGTTTACTTAAGATATTCTGGTAGAAGTCATTCAATAAATATGTCACATCACAAGGAAGAGAGGATGTGATTTATTAGCTTGCGTGATAGTCTATGATGACGTGAAGGAGGAGGGAGAGAGAAGGGCGGAAGGGAGGGTGGAACATGATATTAAATATCATATACAATTTGTAAATATGGATACTTACGGTTAGCCGTTTTGTTCACATTCGTGATACATTTGGTAAAAATTTTAAAGTTTCGACATGGTTTCAACATGGTTTCTGTTAATAAACAAAATGTTAATTTTTTAATATTTATTCTTTTGAAAACATAATTTTTTAAATCAACATTAGGAAAGTAAATAATTTGGTATTATATGCTTAAAAGTTATTTATGTTTCAGAAGATAGGTGCGTGCAGTCTAATTATTATTCACAATATGATTGTAATTGATGATGTTTTTCATTCTATGTGTTGACGAGAGAGGGGGATAATTTCACATACTACGTCATATTGGAAGAGGGTAAATACTATGTGATGAAATTGGGACAGAGAAGAGAGCGAGTAAAAATATTCACATTTAGCGTGACGTATTATTGAATAGCCCCATATTTATTCTGGAAATTACAAATTTTAATTTGAGAAATATTATACTTCAATAAAGTATAGTAATTTAAGTTAAACAATTCTCTTTTAATAAAAGTTTTTTTTTAAGTTAATCATATTAACTCTTTATGCTGTAATTACTGTTGGATATAAGCATTTATTCGACGGAGGAAAATTCATTTCTTCTCTTCAAAAAACTTTTGTTCCGCGTTAACGTATAATTTCAATCAAAAATTAAGTACCTCTGAAACGTTCAAAAATAAAAATCTCGAAAACATGAAATAAAACAAATAACAAAATTGTTCACTTCAATATATCGATTTTCATTTTCAATTAAACGCCCATTTAATTTAAATAATTTGATATTTGATTTTAACAATAATAATTTTTTATTTAATTTGAGCAGTAATTTGATGTTATAAAGTATTTTTTCAACGAAGTAGGAGTTTTGTTCGTTCAGAAGATTTTACGTTCGAAAATATTGTATTTCGCTGTATAAAAAAATCACTTTTTCCATGTATATGGTGTCCCAAATTAATTTCCCGTGGTGTGCAAGTAGAACGGGTAAAACTGAGCAGAAAAGTGTCATACCATTTTGCAAATAACACGCAAAATTTCGAATTATCGATGATTGAAAATGGTCATTTATAAAGGCTTCTCTAATTAATACTTCAACAATTTGCGTGTTATTTGCAAAATGGTACAGAACTTTTTCGTTCAGTGTGGCCTGATCTACCAATATATAACAATGTCTAACAACATCAGTAAATTGAACTTTGATCCTTGAACCTTGAACTTCGTCGTTAGGTACAATAGTCGTCATATACTTGTAGATTAGACTATTCGGAACAAAAAGGTCTCTCACCATTTTGCAAATAACACGCAAATTGTTGAGTTATTAATTAAAAAGTGTCTCTATACATGGCGATTTTCAATCATCGATAACTCGAAATTTTGCGTATTACTTGCAAAACGGTATAGGACTTTTCCGCTCAGTTCTGGCCGTTCTCGCACATCACAGGCGCCGGGATCATTTCGGGACACCCTGCGGAGACGGCATCCGGACGCAATGATCTCGATCTGATGGAACGCAGCGATCGTGTCGTGCATTTCGCTGAAGAAATCACCGGCACGAACCGCTCGCCTCGCTCTTCTGAGAAATCGCGCGGCCAATTACCGGTAAAACTAATTGTTCGCGGCTGTCCGGCTTCGCGGGATATAAGTCGGTCCTTTGGGCGAGGTGATGAGCGTACCGTCTTCCACATAGGAAGCCTTATCGTGGACTCTTCTTCTCCGGTTGACAGCGCCGCTGACTCGGTAGCGTCGGGCTTCGCGCTGACGGCTTATCCGACCTGTCGCCGTCTCATTACGCGCCCCGCGACAATTAACGTCGTCGTCGCTCTCGGCCGCTCTATCGTCGGATCGTCGCCGCCGCACCGTACTTATTAATTAACCGCGAGCACGTACCGCGCCGATGGCATTAATGATCGCGCGCGCGCGATTCGCGAAAAGCAGAGGGACCACACAGAATCGCGCACGAAATCGATAGGGGGGAGGGGGGGGGCACGAGGCCCTCTCGTGTGCTCTCGCAAGTTCGATGAAAAATTTATGAAGAGTCGGATTTACGAGAGAGAGAGAGAGAGAGAGAGAGAGAAAGAAAAGCTCCGCGTCGTGCTTAACGCGCGCGACGGAGGGAACGGTGACGGNAGGGGGGAGGGGTGAGAGGGACGGCTGAGGGGGGGGGGGCGCTTTTGCAAACGTGTCCGCGATTCCGTCGGAGCACCGCCGCCCGGAAATGAATTCTCGTGTCGGCTGCACGTACTTCCGGCATTTTTTTCTGGTGCTGCCCGCGCGCGACTCGCTAATGTGGAAAACATGTTTTGCGAAAACTCGCATACGACGGGAGTGTATTTACTTTCGGTTACTTATAATAGCCAGAGAGAGAGAGAGAGAGAGAGAGAGAGAGAGAACGAAGGCGCTCTCGCGCTCGCTTGACGTGTCGGCGTCGCGAGAAGCCGATTCATCGCGTCCGTGACGATCGCATTTTCATCGGTGTGTTTTGTGTGAAAAATTATAGAAAGTCAGGTTGCCGAGCGGCGGCGAGCCGATTACTTCAACACGCCTCGGCGAGGAACATTCCTTTGGTTAAGGCCAAATCACACCGGTAATTGCCAGTTCAACTGCGCTTGCGATCGGCGACCGCTTCACTTTGATTGGTCGACGAGTAATCGCCAGTCGTCAATCGCAATCGCAACTGAATCGGCGATCAATAGCGTGATTTGGCTTTTACGAGGACGGTCTGATAAGTAGTAGGATTTACGCTTGGTGGCGCCACTGCAGCGAAACCGGTTTTACCATCATATAGCACCATCTTTCAAACAATGCCTGTCAAAATTTCAGCCTTATCCGTCCATTAGTTTCTTGTTGGCAGCCAATTAAAGTAAACGTCTCAGTCATTGTCGTCAATATGGAAAAAGAGTAACATCGTTCGGTGATTCGTTTTCTTTATTTGGATGGGAAAATGTATGAAAATGTCCAAGAAAAATTGGAAGCTGTTTACGGGAGTGTTGCTCCTTCGAGAAGCGCTGTTTTTA